GCCTTCTTCCATGGGGGAAGTATGTTCCCGCTGTCCTTCACCCAATGCTGGGGCCCTTATCAGCTGCCAGGGCGGATATATTCGGGTAGGGATGGCTGAGGGGGGCCATGGAAAGACATGGTGCTAGGCAGAAGAGGAGTTGTGTGAGATCCAGCTTGACCCACTGCTTGCCCAGCCCAGGGGGACCGAGCCGGGGAGCCATCCGTCTGGGGCATGCTCAGCGGGGAGCGTAGGGTGCCTTTGCTGAAGTCTGCGTGCAGAAGGTGGAGCAGAGCCTTCCTGAGAGGCTGGAGGGGAAGGAACCTTGCTTTCCACCTACGGTATGGTCACTGCCTGCTCTCAGAGAGGTGCTGAGCCTCCTCACCAGCAAGACCCTTCCCTCACGCCCAGCCCTTCCTAACCCCACACTTCCCACTTCCCGCTGCGCTGGGAGAGCGTCTCCCCCAGCCCGTGGCTGCAAACTCAGTGGGTGATGCCGTGGAGTGAGGAGAGCAGGAACCAATTCCTTAAGGGGCCATCTCAGAACCTTCCCTGGATTTTCCTCCCGTCGCAGGGAGAAGTGCCCCTGCCTAAGTGGGATAAATTGGTACAGACCATTAGCAGCGCAGGTCCTCCTCTGCTTGGGGGGGAGGGAAGGGGCTGTCGGCACTGCTCTGGATACAAAGCAGCCAGCCACGCTCTGGCTCCTTCCTCCCGCACCCCATCGGCCTCCTCCTCCTCCTCCCTGTTTGCACACTCCCTCCCTCTTCCACTCTCTTTCTCTCCCTTAACACCACGCTGCAGAAAGGCAGACCTGGGAAAGCGGAGGATCACAGAGGCGGCGGCGGAGGAAAGAGCTCTCCGGTGCTGTTCCTTTGCGAGTGAAACTGGGAGGCAGAAAGGCAATGAAGGAGTGTCTTGGATTCTGCCTGGAATAAGACAGAATACACTGAAAAAAAAAAATAAATCCGGACCCAACAAACGAGGAAAAAGGGAGGAGAGAAGGAGGAGGAGGTTGCTGGGGGGAGCCCACTCCGGTGGGTGAACAGCCGCTTTGAATCATGTCTCTGTTCCCAGGGATTAAAGCATGAATGGGAGCAGCTTCCCAGCCACAATGGAGAGAGAAGGAGGTTCGGGCTATGGGAATAAGGTAACTCTTGCCTCTTGCAGGCATTGCATGGCTGAGCTGAGCAGGACAGAGATCCTTTGTGCACAGGGCTGTGTGTGTGTGTGTGCAGCGGGCAGGGGGTGGGAGGAAGCAGGAACGACTCAAAGCAATTTTTCTACCCCTCCCAGTGTGTTTAAAGAATGCAGAATGGGTCCCGGAGGCTGTAGTGCTGGAGATCGCTTTTCCCCCCCTTTTCCAGGCTGGGTGTCTGAGGACACCAAACTGGTTTGCCTGGGGAAGGCTGGCTGGGTTATGGGGAATATGCACTGTGCTCCCAGACCTGCCCCTGCCCCGGTGCTCCCCGAGAGCCACATGCAAACCCACGCTGGGGTGGGCTGTCTGGGGACTACAATGGCCCCGCGCCCTTCCAACCTGCCAGTGGATCCGTGCAGAAAGATGGGAGGGAGGTGAGAGGCAACTGAGAGAGTTGCTTTCCTCTTCCCTTGGTCATCCTCTGCCTTTTCTTTGCAACAGAAAGGGATGGGATTTAGGAGGAGGGGGAACTGAAATCCCTTTCATTTGTGCCAGCGGTGGCGAGAGCCAACTTTGAGGCTTCTTAAAAGGAAAAGCTTTCTCAGAGCTATCTTTTGGAGGAATAGGAGATGGTTGAGCTGTGCTTTGCCATCTGAGGAGTGATCTCTGTGTCGTGTTATGTTGGGAGTGGGTGGGGATGAAAAACAGTGATTATGGGGGAGAAAGTCCATGATGATCAATGAAGCTGTCCGCAAATGATGCTTTTCTTTTCCTTGCTGGGCCTCTCTCTAACTCAATTCCTGGGTCTCCAACACTGAAAGTCCCAATTTCTCTCAGTCAGACCAGAAAGCACAACTTCAAATAGTACTGGGAGGTGGCTTAGCCCAGATACTTGGGAAAGCACTGAGGAGAACGTGATGTTTAGGGCTGTGGAGTCCATATCCAGTTAATCCCAGCAAGCAGAGGTCTTGGCTGGGCATCCCTCACTGTCTTTGCAGGATCTTGCTGCTGCAATATCCATTTGCTCTGTGCTGTCTGTCAGATACCCCCTCCTCCCCTTGCCTTCGGGGCTTCTTGATGGGTCTTGTCATGGGGTTAGGAAGCATTTGCTTTGTTACGTGTCACACAGGTCCCCACGTCTGTGCACACAGTGCAGAAAGTCACGAGCCCCAGCGTGCTGTCAGTTGATGTAAGAGCTTGTATACACATCCGAGGAGGTTGTGGCCCAGTGTTAGGGGCTGGAAGAGACCGTGCAGTCTGTTGCATACATCCGTATGCACTTGTCTCCATCCTTAGAGTCCCTGAACGTCGGCAGCGAGTGGTCACCAACTTGTGTGAGTGAGGTGGGGCATGTTTGGGCATGCACATAAACGTGGAAGAAGGGCTGTGTAAATCTACAGTGGAGCTTCAAGCCATATGAGGAAATTCTCCGAACTCACCTGAGGTGCAATTGGTCCTTCTCCATGTGGATGGATTGACCAAGATTTGGCTGGAAGGCTACGGAGGCTGGGATTGCTTGGCTTACCTGACAGAGTTTGGATCAAA